TGGGCTGCCAGCGCACATTGCTGGCTCATGTCCAGCTTTTCATCCATCAGTACCCCCAAGTCCCTCTTGGCAGGGCTGCTCTCGATCCTTTGTTCCCCCAGCCTGTACTGATACTGGGGGTTACCCCGACCCAGGTGCAGGACCATGCTTTTATAGTTATGCTTTCTCTAATGACATTGTTTTCGAGAATAAAAAGTTCCACCCAGATATATTTGGACAGCATGCCCCAACTGCACAGTTGATGACTGTCCAACTGAGCCCAAATATTTGGAGGCTGCTGTTCAAAGCCTTGCCAGGTTCAATGAAGAGAGTGAACAAACTCATCATTTCTCTGTCCTCAATATCACAAGAGCTTCAATGCAGGTAAACCAAGGCTCATCTGACTTGATTTAGCTCTCACAAAGTATGGATCCAACTGTTATATGATTTGTTATGTCTTACAGATTGTTTAGAATTTGTATCTGTATAGCACAGAGAATATTTCGATGCAGAATTCTCCTAGGAAATGAGGATCTGCACCGATCCAAGACTTTGACTCCATTTATTGGGGGGGGGGGAAAAAAAAAGCTTTATGCAGAACTCAAGACAGATTTGCAATTGCATTCAGAAGTGTAGGAAAGCTTCACTGTGAGCTCTTTCTTCTACCACCACCATGAATTCGTGATTCCCTAATAGAAAATATTTAATAAAGTACAGTCATCCCTTCCAACACACACCTGTAATTCACTGAATGACTTCAAACATGGGTTTAAAACTAATTTTAGACCATAGAGTTAATGATCTCCTGGCTAAATCCTGTTTGCTTACCACAGTAATATCCGGTCTCTCTAAAATTCATTATGTATAGATAACACGGTGGTTTCCACTCTTTGTCTCAAACTTTAGATATTACTACAATATAGTATTTAATTGCTCCCATTTTTTAACCCTGAGGTACTTACATTTCAGAAATAGACGAAGTGATCCTGTTCATTAAAGCAGTCAGAAATTATCAACAAGGCACTGAGGAGGGTCTTCGGATATGTAGTTCTAGGTGGATGCTAACTTATTACAAACCCCAAACTAATTTCAACTATAGCTAATCCATGAGTTAGTAAGCTTCTGCATATGTAAGAAGTGAAAAATAACCAGGCGACAAAGCAACACTGGCAAGAAAATCATTCTCCTGTAATACAAGTAAAAGTAATGCCCCACATATAACCTGCTCCTTCCACACTTAGCAGGAGTTTTACATCTATTTCAAGGTCTGTAGGATTCTTCCTGACACACACACAAGGTCTAATTGCCACTGGTCTCTCATTAACAACAGGTCATAGGTCCTGCATATTTTGTAGTTTTTAATTCGGGAGACCTCCTGCTCCAAAAATGACACGATTACTGACATCTCCAAGTGCAAGCCACTTTCATCAGAACTAGCTGTAAGTACTTTTCCTTGTATAAACATGTATTTTTCAGACACTATGATTCCTCAGTGAATACTTAGCCTATCTCTTTGGTTCTTTGCCGACAAGAATGAAAGCCCACAGCATCTTCTTATGGGTTGTAGCTCTATACTGTCTTGCAACTGTACACATTGCTTTAGAATATAGAAAACATTCCAGTAAAAGTTCCAAATTCTTACCTAGAAGTCCATGAACAAAGAAAACAGAAAAAAATACCATCCAGAAAAAGGCAGGTTAGTCATCACCTTATAAAACTGAATCTTTCTTAAGGATTTCTTCCATGTAAACAGACAGTAAGTCACAAACAACGCATAAGGAGTATATTCATACTACAATCAGGTCAGCTAAGGAAAACATTTAGGAACTAAGGAAAAAAAATAAGATTAACTGAAAGGCCAGACAGGCATGCTGCCAAGAGACATTTCAAGCCCCATCTTAACTGAGATCCAAGCCATGTTACCCACTAAAACCACAACTATTAGAAACAACATTTTTTTCATGGTTCCTTTCACTGGTATGGTGTGACATTTTTTTTACCTGAAAAATGATATTATGTTCTGTTACACAACTTGCAGGCATGGGGATATTCTGCTGCAGCAGAACTTAACAGTGCTGTTGTAGTCGGGCCTTAAGTGGCCAGCTTATTTTTACTATCCTGTTGCCGAACCCCTCTTTGCAAACATAAGGTCTTTTTCAAAATGCTGCCTGCATTTGTAAGCTTGCCAATCCCAAAATAAACGTTTGCCCAAGCTGCTTATCCCTTACAAATACATGTAGAAGCCACAACTATTCAGCCTTTCATAATCACTTATTTTACAAGATAGGAGATAAGTATCAGTGCTACAATGTGAAAAAACGCTTGCATTTCTTCTTCCAGCAAATAGGTTTCTGCAAAGGCTCTGTAGTAAACAGTCACTTGGAACATGAACAGTTTGTCACAATATCCTGTGAAATCTACAGTCTGCAAGTATTTCTTAATCTAATCTTGATATTGCAAGAGTAACACTTTTACAAAACAGGAATTGAACTCTTGAAAGCCCAGCCATTTTTAAGTTCTCATTCACAAAAATATGGGCTTCAAGAAAGTGAGAAGGCCAAATCAGGAAGAAATCTCTCTTGTGATAAAACAGACTGTTGTTTAGGTGGATAAAAAGGTAATGGAATAAGTATAGAGTCAATCATACAGAGTGTGCTCAGAACGCTCTACAGAGAAATTGTAAATAACAAAGGGAATGCAAAGAGCAATTACTGTGTAGTTACCCAAGTTTCATGCACCCCTCTCCACTGGCACAAGAAGTAGTTCCATCTGTCTATCCTTTGCAGACTGAATTGCAGCAGATCCTTAGTGTGAAGGGTAACCTCCTTCACATCTGAAAGAATTTGTAACAGCTTCAGTGTAGGTAGTGCGTATTGCCTGTTATTTATATCCTGCCACTGAAGAGGGGAAGCAGCAACCTAATCAGACACCTGGAAAACCCAGCCAGAATCAACAACAAGCTTTCCCTTCAGAAACCAATCCTTTCTCGCCAACACCTAGAAAAAAAAGAGTGGGCTGTGTTAAAATTCTACCCCCTTCAGCTGAGGACACCTCTTTCCAAAACCTACCAGAAACTCAAAACGAACATGAAGATGGAAAGTTCATTCCACCTGAGGCTGTAGGATCTAGGCCCAGCCTTGATGGAGAAAAGATTCAAGCAGACAAAACAAATTTGACCAAACCAGTCACTGGACCAGTTATTCTCCCTCTTCCTGAAGAACTTTCTCTGTCAGACTCGTGCCCAGGGGAAGCAAAGGAGATAAATTCCATGCTCCAGCCTTTGCTGCCTAAAAAGCCTGCCGAAGACTAGCCAGCATCCAATCACCTCAACTACCTGCAGCAAAATAACAGCCACAATGGGAACCTGGTCTTTCAATTTGAGTAACATCTTTAAAAAAATAAATTGCTTAGTACGGTCTTCAGCTTTGGAGTTCTCAGTTTTAAGAAAGCACAAGAATAGATTAGAAAGAGAAATTTAACTGGGGCATTTTCCAACAAAAGAATTTGACTTTTAATTCTGAAATTCATCACATCACTAAGAGCACGAAGGAAAGGTAACTGCGGATGGTAAAAGAACTTGCAGGGCTGAGACAGCCCAAAGGCCTCAGAAAAAAAAATATCCTCAGTAGCAGAAGTCTGTCAGGGCAGAGTGCGGGATGGCTGCTCCCCAAGGGATGGCGAGATGGAGCCAAGCATGATAACCAGGCTGGCAGGGCCTGTCCCATGGTACCTGAGCGAGGCTAGCAGGGCAAACCCAGGGATGGTTAGTCAGGTTATAGGAAGAGCCAAGATCACCACGCAAGTTCACGGGCGATGAGGCGGGTCTGAGGTCAAGCCAAGAAGATGGGCGGCAGGTCTGAATTTGGGTCTGGATCACAGGGTCCATGGCTTAGGCACAGGCACGGCTGTGATGCAGCAGGAGCTGTAGCTCTGGCAGGGGCTAAAATGCTGCAGCCCCAGCTTAAAGCAGCTCCTGCAGGAAGGGGGGATCAGGTTGGCCCTGGCTGTGGCCTCTCCGCAGCGCTGACGGGAGCCTGTCCCCCAGGTGACCGAGGGGAAGGGGCACAGCCCCGGCTGTGCTGTCGCCGAGTTGGCCCCAAGCCCCAGCAGCCAAGCCCCCAGGAGAGGGGATGCTCTCAGCGCCCTGACAGAGTCACGCCTGCTGCAATGGTACATGGACGGGGAAGGGGACTTCAGCGCTGTTTAGCATTAACAGCTAGTGAGTTTTTATTATTTTACAGGTTAACTTCTTAATTATAATGTGATGAGCTTAGCCTATTTTTTTATTTCCCATGGAAATTTATTTCCCAAGAAAGATTGTTTTTTTCCTAATGCTTTACAACCTCACTTAAAGACAGTGGAAAAGGCTACGCAGAGGCGAAACCTCTGCACATAATTCTGGCTGGAGGAGAATCAAGCCCAGGCTATTCAGATTCTTATGCTTTACTGACCCTGCTGTGCAGGAAAAATGATGATTTACAAAATCAGCCTAATTCTTTCTTGAGATAGGTCATATTAACTGCCTTATAATAAAAACCACAGGGACACTCTACAGCCTGTAGCTAAGAAAAATCAATTTCACTAAAGCCAGAGATAGCAACTGTGCTGACAATAACAAATATAAATAAATGAGAAGACAATAAGAAGAAAGAGTGAACATGGGAAAGAAATGTCATTTATGGCCAGGAGTATGCCGGTATTTGCAATAATTATGGGGCTCATATGAGACTACAGAGCCTTTCTCTAGTTGCTACCAGATCTGAAAAATCATTTGTTCAAAACAAAAATCAATAAAATATTATTGTTTCTGAAGCTTTTATGGTGCTGAATCATCCCTAGAGATGCTGGGTAATTTCACTATTCAAAGAGCCTTTCAACAAAAAATTATGGTTTTGTTAAAGTATTCTGGCGTTACACAATTTGATTAAAATGTATTATCTTATTATTATAAATAAAATCTAAATAGAAGTACTATTTTATTTTGAGTAGACAGAAAATAATATTGAAATATTGTATGGAGTATGTTCACAACAAATATGTTTGGTTTTTCCGATTGCAAAACTCTTAAAAACATAAATTTCATATAAAGTAGTAATTTAATTGCTTCAAAGATTAAAATAAGCCAAAAAGTGATGTGTGAAACACATCAACTGAGCCAAAAATAATTCCATTTCAATTCCACATCATGAGATATTTCAACTTATTTTTGTTTCATTCATTTCAGAGTAGAAAACAATTCAAAATCAGGTAGTTCTTAAAAAAATCATAAAATTCAAATTCTATCTAATTATTATTGCAGTATGAGCACTAGGCTTGTCAGCATTTCCTTTTTTATCAAGTCATCAAATTACAGCATCCTGTTTTTCCCTCGGCAAGTTTCACCTGTGCCAGGTCAGGTTTCCCTAACGCAACCAGAGCATTCTACCGCCCTGTACAGGAACTGCTCATTTGCCACATGCCAAAATCAGGGACACCAGGCATCACTCCATGCCCTACACCGGGTGCCATTGGCTTCAGAGCGAGTCAGAGGACAAGAGCATTGGGGCAACAGCCTGTCACACCTCAGTGATTTTCTAAAGGCTTTTTTTGCCCCTCTTTTCAGTTAATCGCCATACTTCTCGCTTCTGCTGTTTCATACTGCGGTCTATTTTATTAACTGTTTGCATGTTGATTCTAATCTCACTGTGGCTGCATCAGTTTAATGACACTACTGGGTTTTATATCAATATATGTAACCGGATTCTTCCCCAAAAGGAGTACTGGGGAAGAAATCAGCTTCATTAACTGCTGGTTATAGACAAGAATACCCCACTTCAGTTAGTTCCCTTTCTTGACTACAGCTGCTTATAATAGTAAATTGAATAGCAACAGCAGCAGGTGAGGATAAATGGAGTGGAGCTCGTGTGAACATAAACAGGGGGAGATAGAGAACATCTGAAAGTCCGGATCCACAGTGTTGAGGATTCAATTTGGTTATTGTTTAGCCTGTTCCACAAACAAGGCTCAGAAATTACATTTGAATCAATACATTCTCTAGCTTGGATCTGAGATTTGGGCTGAAAGACTTCTATGATTTAAAAATAAATACCGGAAGGGGTGTTTATCTAAATGGCACCTGTATCTACAGCGCAGATCTGCAAGCATCAGTGGTCAGTGCAGATTCATGGGCATTTGCTTTATTTGCTGTGGCCACTCCAGCACAGTGATTCCTGTACCCAGATTTCAGTGTCACCTAGGCCACCACCAATTTTTACTATAATTGAGGCCTGGTACTAATGCCCAAGACTAATTTCTTGAACTACACATAGGAGACTGATGTATAGGTTCTGTGTTTCCTTTGTCCTCAGGACGTACCTGGATACTGCTGCACTCCCAGATGGCCAAGGCCATCAGCTTACAGTTAGGGTTTTGTTTTCTAGAAAGCAATTTGCAGCCAAAGACACTGAGGACAAGACAAGGAATACTGACACCCTTTTTATTGCCTGTGTTAGTTCCTGAGGCCTCCTAAGCAACAAGACTTTTGTAACTACATTGTCAACTTGCTCACTTGACATTTGGTCTCCTCCAAATAGCTTTTGAACCTAGGGTCTGTTTGAATGAAATTTGATAGACAAGGTGATGGAGCTTGTAAAAGTTTGATAAAAAACTGGTGACTGGTAAGGAAAAATAAAATGCAGGCAGGGAGGGGAAGCTATAGCTGCAGCTGCTGCTTTGAAGACCATAACCAAAGCAAATTTGTATAACATTGCCTTTGCATCAGAGGGCACACTGTTTACAGCCAGCAGATAAAAATGAGACATGAATGAAGACATGATGCATTTACATATTTTTCCACCATACTTGGGGGGCATTTCTGTTAAATGTGAAGCTACCCCAAAAACTGCAAAACTTTTTTTTTTTTTGCATCAATGTGTAAAATCAGGCCCCCCTAGTCTGAAGCTATGAGGCATCACAAACTCAAAAAATGGAAAGAGAAGCTAGCAAAGAATTCTCCTATAAGCAAGCGGAGGTACAGGTGTCTCTGTTAGCTGCACTCTTGCTTAGGAGCAGCAGCAGCTGCAGAGCAGCACAGGCTACAAGACTCGTAAGGTCTCACTACCTGCATAATTGACTGAGCTGTGCGATTTCATAATCCCAGCCTGTGAGTGAGGCACTACTGCAGAAGGTAGAGAACAGTCAGCTGGTGTAGTAGTTGTCCTCCCAAGAAATCAAAGGTATCCATAAATAGCTATGGCTATACTTTAGGAAAGGAGCAATCGGTAACTGAATATTATCTCCTTAATTTGTCATATCTCTTTTTCTTTCCCACCCTAGAATAAAGTTCTATTTATTAAGCATTTGATAACCTGTTTTTAAAGTGGGGAAGATAAGTCACTTCTTGGTGTGTTCTTCCAGTTTTCTGGAGAGAGGTTTAGGATGGATGTTTATTTTCAACTCCTTAAAGTTTGAATGTGGATCACCTTCTACTGTTGCAAGTCAAGCCTTGGCAAAAGTCAGAGAGATAAACAAGCTTTTGATAAGTGAGTCAAGAGAAATGCTGCGTTTGAATAAATATTCCTATTCCTGCCAGCAATTTGTTTCTAGAAATAGCTTCATTAAAACAACACACAAAACTTACAAGCAATAAATATAAAAGCAAAATAAGTATTAAAAAAAGATATCAAACTGCATGAGAAATTATAAAGTTACATTATACTGACTCAAGTACAACCAATATGTAATTAACTGCTGTGACTGTGCCTGGAATGCTTATCCATGGACTTTAATAAGAGAGTCCAATTTTTCTTTTCCAAAGAAATCAAAGACAAAACTCTCTACATCGGGAACAGAATCTTACTTTTACTTCTGTAGTCAATTTAGCAGGAACCGTACATTTTCTACTGTTTATTTGTAGTGTTTCTATTTCATACATAAAAAATACTTAAGCCATTCAAGAAAGTGATTGGTGTCACAATGAACAGCACAGAACAAGAGGAGAAGAAAACCCCAAACAATCTGCAAACAATAGACGACTAAGGGAATTACACTATACATTACTTAATCTGATGCCTTTCTTCAATATGACTGCCCGTTTGAAAAAATTAAACAGTATTGTGAACAGTGAATGGGGGTGCAATTTGGACCACAGCAATGATGTGAATATTATTTTTGACTGATGTGATATATTTAAATACCTTAGATTATTTACACAACATTTATTTCACTGCTTTTTTCAATCTTCCATGGATTAATTAATTAATTATGGATTATTTTAATGAAACATTATAAAAACATAAACAAAAGAAGTGCCCTACTGCATCAGAACAGTGA